ATATGCCGAAACGTGGATGACCCCGGAGGACACCAGGCCGGGGGAAGTGAGCAGCCACAAAAGGTCAGACTCTGTGCGGTTCCACTTACATGTGGTCCCTGGAGTCGGCAGATTCAGAGGTGGAAAGCGGGTGGTGGTGCCAGGGGCTGGGGGTGGGGGGCGGGGAGTGAGTGTTTAACGTGGGGGGCGGGGTTTAGTTTGGGAGGATGGAAAGTTCTGGAGACGGACGGTGGTGACAGGCTGTGCCCCTGAGCTGTGCACTCAGACGTGGTTAAAACGGTGAATTGTATGTGTATTTCTACCACAATTTAAAGCAAAACCAAGGGCTAAAATTGGCCATTGGACTTGGGGTTTTGCTTTGTGGGCTCCACGCCGAGGCCAGGCTGGAGGGAGGGCTGGCTGTCCCGGAGGGGGCGGACTCCCGGGGTTTGGGAGGGAGGAGAATGCAAATGAGGTGGTGGAACTGCCGTCCTGGGAGGGGCAGAGCTTCCAGAGGGTCAGAGGCCTGGGGGCTGTTCTGTTCCGGCCAGTGCAGGGCTTGGTGGGCGGAGCCCACCCTCAGCTGCTCCCAGAGCCTGCCCTGCGGGCAGGGTGAGGTTTCTTTGCTGCCCTTCTTGGGGCGAGTTCATTTGTGAGCCATCTGTGGGGCCTCCTTATCAGGCAGTGGCAAGTAACAGCTCGGCCAGGCCCTGCCTAGACCACGTCCCTGGTATTTGCTGAAGGCAGTGGAATGTCCTGTTCTTGGGGACATAGAGGTCATTTGTAGTGGTCAGTTTCCCCGGTGTGCAGGGGTGTGGTCACCATGTGTCTTCCCACATAAGTACACGTGTCTGTGCCTTTCCCTTCCAGGCCTCCAAGGTGGGACCCTGTGAGGACGATTGCGTCCACTGGCTGCGCTGACCCTGGGCCTCGGTGAGTCGGGAGAAGGAGGCACCTGACCTCGGGTGGCACGTGCACCCACGTGTGGGCTCCTGTGTTTCTTTCCCCTGGAGCAGCCCCGGGGTAGCTCCTGCCCCATGACACGGTCCTGGCTCTTGCTGGCAGACACAAAAGTCCATCTGCCTTGAGAGCCAGGCTCACCGAGATAGCTTTAGTGACACCCAGGTGACCCTGTGGGACACAGCTGGGCCTTCGTGTGTGTTGACTGATTTTCTTAAAGGGGTGTATATTTGGAAGTTTTCTTATAACCAAGAGAGATTTACTGATCAGCTCCCATTTGTCCAAAATCCAAATGAAGAAGTTCAGGTACATGGTCTCCCCTTCTGTTCTTTCGCTGAGGGGCCAGGCGAAAGATGCCGCTGGGTCCCAGGGTGTCCACGGGGTGCAGCCGTGGGTGCCGCCCCAGCAGGGCTGGACGTGGCTTTTGTTAGCAGACCCCGAAGTCTGAGAGTCTCTTTGAGAAGGACGTAGCTGTCCAGTTTAGATGTCCAGGGGTGACGTGTAACCTGAGGTCTGGGCATGTCTGCCCAGAGCTGGGCCCAGCCAGCCACGGGGCGGTCAGGTCCTGAAGGGCGTGCCCCTGGGAGCCCAGTGATAACCAGCAGCTCTAGGGAGAGCACTGAATTGGGGGTGGGGACGGGGGCACCTCCTTCATCAGACCTGAGGGCTCTGTCTGCAGGCCTGTCTCACAGAGTGGCCCCCAGTCACCCCAGCCCCCTCTCCTGTCCTCTGTGTCCTGGCTCTGAGCAGTCCGGTCCCTCCTTTTAGGCTCCGTGCTGACCAGCTCCCTTCTACGCCCACACTCATTCTTGGGATGTATTACTACTGGCTGGGAGAGCGACAGGCCCCTCCATATTAATCACGCCTTGGCCAGACGGCCTCCTGCCACTCGTTCTTTGGGTCTGGCTTCCTCTCTCTTCTGAAGAGCGGGTCCCCTTCTGCACCTCATAGTTGCTGGTCCTCCTCAGGCAGATGATGGAAGCTCCTGTGTGATAGTCAGCACGCATGGTGTGCTCGCAACTGCTCTTTGGTAAAAGCAAACAACTTTTGGGGTACAAGGAGGGCTGATGCAACCTGGTGCCGATGGCACACTTTTTTCTATTTATAGTCACGACTTGTTTAAAACAATGCTCTTGAAATATGCGAACTGAGCACCGCAGCACTGCCTTAGTCTCCAAATTAAAGTCATTTTGTCGAGTGTTGCTCTAGAATTCAGTATTCTCTCACACATGCCTATTTGGTAACTGTTAACGTAAATGGGATGTGAGCGGCACTTCCCAGTACTCTGAGCTCTCATCTCCAAGGTTCTGAATCAAAAGTGTATTTGCTTTGTTTGCCCATTATTGATTTAATAGACAGCTTATGGTTTGGATTGCTAAATTGTTGCGAGCTGCTACTGCATGCAAAAGAAAGTCAGAGTTACATTGTGTCCTAGGGCTGAGCTCTGAATGCATTCCTTTCTTCCCCTGTCTTATCACCTGGCAATGGCCGGAGAATGCCTGGGGCCTAGAGGATTCTCTCTCGCACAGCTACCAGGGGTGCCGGAGCCCGCGGCATAGCCCGCCATACTGCAGGGGCTGTGGGTGCCGCCCATGTGTGTAATCTGTGAGGCACATGGCGTGGTGCGCAGCAGGTGTGAGTCCTCCACCACGGCTTGTTTCTGTGGGAGAGTGGCCGAGGGTCACTAGTCACTGGCCGGACATCTCCCAGAGAGGTGGAATTTGGGGAGATTGCAGATGGAAATCAGTCTGGTTTCCCTGGTTTTAGGGGATGGAGCCCTCACTGTTCTGTAATAGTCGAGGGTGGGGAAGGAGGAGGGGAAAAAAGCAATGGCAAGTTGGAGACCTTGTGCTCTTTAGGGACAGTAACAGTCATGGGACGATCCCCAAATCAAACTTATAACTGAGCATCCGGTGACGTGAACTCACCTTCACACAGCGGACCGCCTTCGGTTATACGTACGTATACATACAGCTTCTTTGCAGAGGCAGGAGAGAGACAGAGACTGACCAGCAGCCCCCACCCCGCCCCCTGGTACTGAAATAGAGCCTAACACCCATTTACGGCTGAACTGGTGCCGCTCGGAAGATGTCCGAACGTCTAGTGAAATCTGAACAGGTGTGCAACTTAGTCGTTAGATAAATGACAATTAACAGCCACGGGGTTGGCTACAGTGAAAGACCAGACAGTGGGGAACTCACATTGCGGTGGCTGTGACTTGGTCCAGTGGCTTTGGAAAACCATTATTATTATCGTGATGATGATGATGACGACGCAGATGCAGCAGCATGTGGGCTCTGGGCGGAGCACCTTCAGAATCCTTCATCAGTCATTCGGTTCTCTTCCCATCTTCATGGAACAGATCTGATAATCTGTTTTTTTCAGATGAGGACACAGGGTCAGGATAAGCGTGTCACCTGTGCTTACACCCCAAGGGGCCACTCTGGGCTTCGGAGCCCCTGCGCTCTGCCCTGTCCCTGCCGGACCCCAGTGCCCTCCTGCGGTGTGCGAGCCTGCCCACCAGCAGGGAGCAGCTGCTGCCTGGGACAGGAGGGCCTCAGCCGGGCAGAGCTGGTCTGTGGCCTCACGGAGGATCTGGGACTCCACTCAGTGTGACCTCTCGGCGGCCAGTGTACGTAGTCCCTGTGCTTGTGGTCCCTTCACTGACAAGTGATGGGATGGTGTGTCACTGTTACTGCAGTTTCAGCTCACACTTGTTTCCTGCTAATTTTTCTTACGAGGTTTAGGATGACTGTGAGGCTCTCCTGAGTCTCAGGCACAGGGAACGGGGCCCGCCCTGCGGGCTTATCTCACTGGCTCCTCTCCCCATTCTCCGCCCCATGTTGGGAGCTGGGCTTCCCACCTGCCTGTGAGTCCTAGACTGTAGTCTGTGTTTCCAGAGCTCCCCGGCTGGCCGTGGACCTTGCTCGGTGCAGCTGGAGGGGGTGATGGGGCGGGGAGCAGGAGACCACCCCCCCCCAGGCAGCGTGAGGGTGGAGAGATTGTCCCAGGGAGACCTGAACACTCCCTGAGGAAGGCGAAGCTGGGACCTGAGGCTTCGGCCTCACGACTGAGACAGGCAGCGCCCCTTGCTGCTCCCCCTGCTGCCCGGCCCCCACTGCTCTGTGAGTCCCAGAGTGAGGGGGAGCCTGGGGACGGAAGGGAGGCAGGGTGTGTGCCCCCAGCCTCTCTCTCCCGGGTTTGGTCCGTGGCCACGGCGGGCGTTTGTGTCAGGTGTTCGAGGCCAGGCTGGTCCTGCCCCTGCCCCGTGTGTGCCGTGAGCCCCAGGACAGTGCAGGCGCCACACATGGCTCACACCTGCCGTGGCCTCAGCCCCGGAGCCCTCACAGCCAGGGCCTGGGCGGGGGTGGGGGGAGGCTTTGCTCTCCAAACCTGGGACAGAGGGCTTGGGCTTCGGCAGGGCAGCTTGTGTCTAGAGAATGCACATCTCTGGCAATGTAAGCTTTTTTCCTTAAAAAACAAACACAAACAATCAATCAATCAAACAATCAATCTGCCCTGACTGGTGTGGCTCAGTGGATTGATTGAATGCCAGCCTGTGAAGCAAAGGGTCTTACTGGTTTGATTCCCAGTCAGAGCACATTCCTGGGTTGCAGGGCAGGTCCCCAGTAGGGGGTGTGTAAGAGGCAACCACACATTAATGTTTCTCTTCCTCTTCCTCCTTCCTTACCCTTCTCTCTAAAAATAAATAAATATAAATCTTAAAAAAAAAATCCAGTCTTTTCAGCGTTCAGGCTAACTGGTTAAGCTGTCATAACCGCTGTCCAGACAGAAGGGGCGGCCTTAATCAGCAAGCAAGGTGGTTTTTTTCTTAAAATCTACATTTTAATTGTAAAAGGGCTATGTGCTTGTAAAAGTTCAATGCAGAACCAAATTTAATACACACTAACATTTCGTTGCCTGGTTCATCTGAGATCCCACGCTTCCTCCCGGAGGGAATGTCTATGCACGGTGTGTGGCTCAGCCCCCAGGGCGCGTGTAAACACCCAGGGACAGGCGGGCCTACCACGCAGAGCTTCTGAAATCGCATTCACGCCACGATGCCCACCTGGGTGGCCCGGCGTAGCGTGTCTGGAGACTTTGTAATCGACCTGCCTCGATTTTTGTGCCGCCCTGAAGAGCATGTGTGGCTGTGCCCGCAGGCGCACACACGTGTTGTAAGACACGCCTGGGGGACGGTCTCAGAGTGCGGCTCCCTGGCGGCCACTTTACGAGGACCGAGGCGTGTTTTCAAGGACAGGGCGTGGGTGTGGCTTGGCAAGGTGGTGAGACCGGCACACCTGTTCCCACACTGGGGCCTGGCTGGCACCTTGGTGACAGTGTCCATGAAGAGGGTTTATGACGGCCCTGGTGGTGCTTCGGGGTCAGTAAGTGCCCCTGGGCCCGGGCGCTTGACCCCTGGACGGCAGACTTTGCCTCCTGCTGCTGTGCAACCTGGTGTCCCTTTCCGCCCTGGCCAGTGCTGTCGGTGAGTTGGCAGGGGTGCCGGGAGTCTTTCTGGGGACAGTGACCTTGCCAGGTTCCTTTCCCAGGGAGGAGCGTCTGTTTTCTGGAACATTCCGTAGTGTTCTCCCGGAACCCACATAAAGCACTGTGCACACACAGGTTCACACGCCTGTTGTGGTCAGAGACATGAGTGTGCGTGGGCAGAGGTGCCCTCGTCCACGTGTCTAACACGCAGGTGCAGCAGAGGTCCCCTTTTCAGGGCGCCGTCTGGTCTCACAGACACCGCGTGCCCGGCGGCTCCTTGTCTCTTGGGACCTGGAACTGAAAACGGATGCACACCTCGCGTGGCCGGGCCGGGGACACCGGGGCCTGCTGTGCTGTCGGTTTGGCTCTGCGCCAAGGGGTTCTAGTTGGAGCAGGGTGGCGGAGAAGGGCAGGGGGCCACGTCACAGGCAGCCCGAGGGGCTCAGCCGCGCTCTGGACTCAGCTCTCGGCACCGTCTGAGCTTTTCTGCCGCTCGATTACACCTGGGCTGAAACGAGGAGGTGGGACCCCGGGCCGCCCAGCAGGGCTGAGCCGGGGGGGCCGGTCCAGCCCCAGCTGTGGAAGGGGGAGGCCAGGCAGCCCGGCACACAGTAAATGTCACGTACGCGTGGCCCCTCTCATTGTTAGTGCCACTTGGCTGTCTTCCCCATCCCTCCAAAATGAACGGCTGTCCAGGGCGTGTGCTGGCTGCCGGCAGACCCGGAGGAGCGACATGTCCCACCTGTGACCTCGTGGGACTCATCGCCCCCCGAAACGCACCTCGAGCTCTTGGGCTCCCGGCATCGGTGATCATGGCATCTGGGGGTGACCGGAGCCCTGTGATCCTGGTTTCTCTCGTTCTTCCCTTGTCCTGCCACGGTGGCTGCAGTGACCCTCGGTGGGGGGCCGGGGCCTTGAGGGCCACGTCCTCAATCATGGGCGGGGCTGGACTCCCTGGTCCGCCTCTCCTGAGTCCGGTGAAGTAGGCTTCTGTTCTTCCCTTTTCTCCTCTTGCCAATAATTAGAGTCATTGATTTTCTGCAGTAAACTGTTTCTGTGCCCTGGTGTGAACCTAATTTAGTCGTCATGACTTCTAACTGCGTGGCTCGTCGGCCTGCTCACGGACACGTGCCGTGAGGGTCCACCTGTGTCCGTGCCCACACCGGCTCGGTCGCGGGCCCCGCAGGTTGCTGCTGCTGCGGCCTCCGGGAATGCCTCCTGCATTCCTCCTGCAGGAAATGCTGACTCTGGGCTGGACACGGTCACCTCCTGGGCAGGCAAGTCTGTAGTGGGTGTGTCACCATCAGGGGACACGTATCATGAGTGCATCTAATCTTTTAAATTACCTCTACTTTATGGAGTGCTTTTATTTTTAAATCAGGAAGTGAGGTTAGATTTTGTTAAATTACCTGACCAGCATTCTCTTTAAAGTAATACAATGGATTTTATTAATAGGGCTTTTTTCCCCCCATAAAACCATCCTTGTATTCCTGGAACAGAGTGTGCGTTGTCTTTCGAATATGCCGTTAGGTTCTGTTGGCTGGTTTTTAGAGGAATGTCTGTGTTTGTGCTCCTACGTGAAGAGCAGTGGTTCTCGAGCCTTCGCTCTTTCTACACTTAAAACATTACTGAGGACCCCAGAGAGCTTTCGGTTTTGTGTTGTGTCTGCTATGGTTCTCAGTGGGGGGACATCTGGCAGTGCCAGGAGATGTTTTGGCTGATACAGCTGGTGGTGGTGGTGGTGGGGGTGTTGCTACTGGCCGCCCCCGGTGGGAGCCCGGGAGCTGCGCACGTTCTGCGGGACGGCCCCTGCCTCAAAGCGTCAGGTCCAGAGTGTCGGCGGCGCCGGGGCGGAGAGTCCCTGCTGCTGGTGTGTGTAGTTCAGGAAGTAACACTGAGGACGTTTAGAAATATTTAACAATGCACTTAAAATAGCAGCAGTAGCTCTCTCCTGTCTTTTTGGGGTGAGGAGCTGTGAGCAGCAAAGCCCGGGGGGGGGGGGGCGACGCCCTGTGCGAGGTGGCGCAGGAAGTCCTGGGGAAGCAGCCGAGTGTAGGACGCACTAGGAGACGGTGGAGCTGCAGGTCGGCTTCGAGAACCGCGGCCACAGCAGGACATATGCTCCTCAGGCGTCCCCAGGCTTAAGTCCACTCCCCAGCCCGAGTTCTCCGGTGTGTTCTGCAGGACCAGCTGCACTGTGACAAGGCCAAGGCTGTGGACGTTCCCCACGTGGACATCGAGGCTCTGAAGAAACTCAGCAAGAATGAGAAGCTGGCCAGGAAGCAGGATGCCTTGCTGGCTTCAGAGCCTCGGATGAAGCAGACGCCGCCCCGGATGCTGGGCCCAGGCCTGGACGGGGCTGGCAAGGTCCCTTCCTTGCTGACCACAGCGGGGACTTGGGCGGAAGTTGAAATGAAATCCGCAGTCGAGTTCCAGATGAAGAAGGTGCTGTGTCTGGTGGTGGCTGCTGGCCCCGTGAGGACGGCGGACGATGAGCTTGCGCACAACATCCTCTCAGCTGTCGGTTTCCTGGTGTCGCTGTTCAAGAGGAACTGGCAGAACGTCCGGGCTTCACTCGGCAGGAGCCCTGGCGCCTGCACGGCCGGCGGCACAGCTGAGCAAACCACACTGCTACCACTACAGGAAAAAAAACCCAAAATTAAGAAAACAGCGATAAACCCATTACATCTTAACAGAAATAACATTTTTATAAAGGACACTACACTTTTCAGAACTGGGAAAAATGCAGTGGAGGCAGGGGCATCGTCGGGTGTTTTCACAGTGCGATCTGTCGGTCTGACGTCGGGCCTGCGGGGGCCGGGGGGGGGGGGCAGCTGAAGGATCTGCCCCTGCACTGGCCCAGGCGGCCGAAGAGACCTGCTTCGTGCTTGGGAGGCCGAGGACTCTCGGGTCCCCTGACCGGGAGCTCCCGTCCCACCCGAGCACCGGGACCAGAAGACGGGCCTCCTCTGCATCCACCCTCTCACGGTGAACTCGGTGTCACTCCTGCTTTGTGAAAGGCGTTTGGGAGTTTTCCTTCTTTGCCCATGTTCTGGAAAAGGTTACATGGTGTGAAGATTATCTGTTCTTACAGAATGGGCAGAAATCTCCTGTGAAGTCCTTTGGGTTTGGTCTCTTTCATTAGATGTAATGGATACCTCTTCTAATTCTATAAAAATAGGTCTTTTCAGACTTTCTGTCTTTCCTGTGTTCATTTTTTGTGTGAATTTTTTCTCCTAGTAAAGTAGTAAAGGTCCACTTCATCTATGTTTTCAAGTTTATTTGCGGAGCGATGTGCAATTATTTCCATGATTTAAAAGAGTATTTTCTTTTGATGGTTATTCCCTCTTAGGCCTTTTATTCTCCTTTGTTTTGATTAGTTTTTTTTTTAATTAATGTAGATGACTTATCTGTTTTGTTGATTTTTTTTAAAGAAGCCATCTTTACACATGTATTTATTAATTAGAATGCTTTTTTCTAATTCATTATATTTTGCTTTTCCCTTTATTCCCTCTGTTACTTTTTAATTTTCTTCTAACTTTTTGTATTGGAGGCTTAACCCTCTTATTTTCATGCCTTCGCTTCTAAAGACATAAAGCACCGAACGTGGTAAATTCTCCTCTGGGCACCGCTGCAGTTTACAGGTTTGGTTTCTACTTCTGGTGAGGAGCGGAGAAGGTTTGCATTTCAGGGAGGTAGCGCTCTTTCTGTTTTGATTGTGTTATGAATTTGCAGATAATATTGTTTGCGTTATAATCACTGTTTAGAATTTGTTGGAAATGTATTTGTTGCTTAACATCTAGACGCTGTTTGCGCATGTTCCCGTGAGCGACCGGGAGACCGTATGTTCCCTCCACCCAAGCGCAGGTCGGCCGCGTGCCTCGCGGGCCCACTGCGCTGGCCTTGCTGCCGCGTCCTCTGTGGAGCTCTCCTCGCTCCCGACCCCTGTCCTTTCTCAGACTGGGACGTGGCGAGGTCTCTGACGGTCCACAGGCTGTGACTCATTTCTGTGGTGTCCTCGTCGTTTCTGCTTCGTGAAGTGTGCTGCTGGGCTGTCGGACACCTAGGTATCAAGTCATTATACTTCTTTAAGAATTTTAGTTCTAGCATTATAAACATTCCTGCTTCGTCTCATTATTTTAATGGCTCTTGGCCTGATATTTTATTTTCCGACTTCAAGAATTTGAGCCCTCTTTTTATTTGCATTTCCTCAGTGTGCGTCCATTCATTATTTTTAGCCCTGCTGGCATGCTGGGTCAAGGTACTTCTGTGATGTGTAGCCGACTGGGTTTTGTTCTGTAAAGCAGTTCCCGTTTTTAGTGGGTGAGCTCCGCCACTTTGAGCTGATCAGCACGGCCTGTGTGTGTGATCAGTGCTGTTGGTACTTGTGCGTTTGGGGGTCAAGGATAAAACGAGTGCCCGTTCACAAGCTCACAGATGGTGCACGTGGCCCGCTCCTCACCTTTCTGGCGGCTGTGTTCCGTGCCGTGCTGCGTCCTGGCGCGGCTGGCCTGCTGTCTGGGGAAGCGTGCGTTTTGTGGTAGTGGTCACCTGATCCGACCTGCCCCGGATGTCCTCCCGTCAGATGCCTCGTTCCCCCATTTTGTAAAACGTTTGTTGTTTCTGTGCTAAGAGCAGCCGTAAAGTGTCCTGTCCCCGCCGCTCCCCAGGCATTGCCTTTCTGAGCGCCTGCTGTCGCAACATCCAGTGCACCGAGCTTTTTTTGTCCACCCTGCTAGCTGCTCTGCCGTCATTTTCCCTCTGGTGCCAGGAAGTGGCCGTGGCTCCTTGCGTCCCACCTCCCTCCCTGCCCCTGCGCCCCCCTCCCCCCCCTCCGTTGCTGGTTGGTTGTCAGAGTGTGGGGCGCTCAGTGCTCTCACTCAGGCTTCTCCCTCCAGGCGCACACATCGCAGTGATCCCTGGGCCTCGGCGCCTCAGGTGTGTCCCCAGCTCCATCTCCGGCAGGGCTGTGGACTGCCAGCCGGTGGCTCCGAGTGTTGCTGTGGCCCAGCCCCGTGCATGTCCCCAGGGCCTCTGGCCCGCAAGTCTGTTCTGCCATCTGATTTCGTTGCCCAGCATTTTTTATAGGTGTTTGTATGTATTTGCCTTGATTTAGTTCCCATCTTTCTGTGACATACCATGTTAGTTTTGTTTGTCTCCTGTAAGTCCAGCAGATGGCAGGATTTTCAGCTGCTGGTTCTACTTCCTGTGGTGACTGATGTAGTTGGACTTCACTTGATCATCGTTGTTTGTATCCCGCATCCTTTCCCTCTGTGCTCCTGTCCCCTCTTGACTTTCACCCGTTAAATCTGCTCACCTGTCTGCTCCCACTGTCGGGCGCACTCTCACACCACAGGGGGGCGTGGTGGACCTGCTGAAGCATGTTGCTCTCTCAGCTTTCCTCCCAAACTGTGTGAAGGCCTGAGGGCTGGGACTTTGGTTCCGCAGTGTTTTCAAACCCACATTTCCTGGGCACACGCCGCACCGCGCCGGCCTGCCCCGGAGCGCACAGCCTGGCGTCCTTATGAGATCGCTTCTCCGTTCCAGGTGCCACGCAGCTGTGCTGCAGCAGGCCCAGTGGGCGTGGGTCCTGTCCACGCTCTGGTCTGCATGTGTGTGTGTGCGTCCCTGTGAGAGTGGGACTCAGGGTGAAAGGGCAGTGAGCTGCTGCTCTCGTCCCTGCTCAGGAGACCCTAAGAACTTGATGAGACACTGGGTTTTATCAAACAGCTTTGGAACAGTGCAGTTTTCAGGTGCCTTTGATAAGTTAGTTCTCAGTGAATAATAAAAGGAGGGGTTGACGCCCGGCCTTTGTTAACTAGTAATTAAGTCCACGCTGCTGACTCTGAGCTAACCGGTCCAGGGTGAACACTCATCACTTTCCTGTCGAGACCCCAACCTCTGCCGTCTGGGAGCCAGGTCTGGGCCACGGAGGGTCCACGCTCCATAAGCACCAGGAGGCCAGCGGCAGGCGTGGTGCTGGGCGACTTTTTGCTGAATTCCTTGTATCTTGATGCTGTTTCTGTGAAGGGTCAACAAATACTAGATAGGTTGTTCTGAGAATCTGGACTTCTTTATTTGAGATAAATGCTGTTTAGTGAAAATTTCCTTTTGGAAGTTAAAACTCTTAGTCCTGCTGTCTAGGTGAGGGGGAGGTTGAGAGCATCGGTGCCAGGAGGATGTGCAGGGAGGGGAGACACTCACGTGTGGGTTCGGGTTTGTTTTCAGTGCTGCAGGTGGTGTGTGCTGATGAAAGCGCCGCAACTAGCAACACATGTTTTTTAGAAGTTGCGTTGGTCATAAAGAAGTGTGCGTTTAAGGCTTTGGGGACCCAGGTAGCTCTTAAGTGAAGAAAGACAGAGGTGAAGACGTTTCTGTCATTGCTGGAAAGTTCCATTCATCTTTGGTTTGGCACCTCGGGGTCCGTGTGGTTTGTTGGTGAGGACAGGATGTGGCTGCTGCAGGGAGGCCCCCGGGGCGCGGCCCCAGCTGGTCGGGGTGTGCACGGCCCCGCTGTGTGCCAGCGCCCCACTTGGTGCTGGGGGCAGAGGTGACCAACCAGTAGACCTCAGTGCCTATGCAGGGAGGTGATACGAACTAAGGTGAAATGTGTGTGAAGTCCTGCTTTTAGTCCATTTGTTCTTCGTGGATTTCCAGAGCCCTGGGAGCTACATTTTTGTGGGGCAGTGGGGGAAGCAAGTTGACAAAAATAAACAAATAAACATACTAGAAATGCTAGGTGACCCTGCTGGGAGGAATCTAAGGGAGTGTGACAAAGTGATGGGCACTGTGGGTGCTGACGGAGAGCAGACGGCCCTTCCCAGGGGCTGGCAGGGAGCAGGCTCTCCCAGAGCTCGGCAGGCAGGAGGCAGGAGGCAGGAGGCAGGAGGCAGGAGGCAGGAGGCAGGCAGGAGGCAGGAGGCAGGCAGGCACCTTGAGGCTGGTGGAAGGCCGGGGAGTGCAGACTGCAGGCCAGGGTGCCCGGTTTAGCAGGCAGGCGGGGATGGCTCTTGTCCTCGGTTCAGTTGGGGCTACCAGGGCAGTTGAGGCCTGGCCATGGCACAAGCCTCAGTGGGCGGAGAGAGCCCACGGATCGCAGGGGACAAGGGCAGAAGTCAGGAGAGGCTGTGGGGCTGGTGGCACAGTGGGCGGAGAGCAGGCTTGCTGGTAGGTTGAGTGTGTGTGCAGGTGTGGGATGTGTGTGTACACGCCTGTGTTTGCCTGTGTGCATCTGCACACGTATCTGTGTGTATGTGTGTGCACATGTGAGTGTCTGCTGACATGTCTCAGGCTAACAGAGGCACAACTGGGAGGAACACACTCGTCCCCCGATTGAGCCTGAGTGAGCTTCCTCACCCGGGGCCACCCTTTGGGAGTGTGTCTGTCTTAGACTTCATGCTGCTGCTTGGCAGTGCGACGGTCACCTTCAGGGGCAAAAGGCTAGAGCCCGGCACTGGCCAGCTATGGGCACTTAGCCTCAGTGTGTAGTTGGGTTTGGGGGTGTCTCTCTGCCTGGCCTTCAGCTGAGGCCCCAGGCTGGCAGCACTGACTCCACGGGGTTTGCAGACCTGCCCCTGCCCTCCCGCCAGGCATGGCCAGGAGGAGGGGCAGGGCGTGTGCCTACCTCCGGCCATGGTGGTGGGGAAGCCTCACACTGGGTTTGGTTCTCCAAAGACACCGCAGAAGCAGCTGTGGCAGATGGGTCATCTCAGTGGTGGGCGCTGGGCGTCCCAGACCCTGCTTTTGGTGTTGGACTTTTTAAAATTAAGAATATAGGGTCCAGTACAAATAACGCCTCCTTTTTATTACAAAATCATAAGCACGTAATTCTGTAACATAACAACATCACACCCAAGCACATCCTGTGACGTTTCAGGTGAGATGTTCGAATTAAAACTATAAACTGTCACACCCACATTGTCACCCTACCAACCGCACTCAGGCAGGTGTTCCCTCTGCCAGGCTTGCACGCGTGAGTGAGTGAGAGGGACGTTGGGAAGTGTTCCCGTCCCCGGGGCGGAGCTCCCCTGCAGAGGCTGCGGAGTCGGGTGAGAGGACGGTGTCAGCCAGGCATTAGGTGAGGACGGTGCCAGCTGAGCCCTGGTGCCGGCCAAGCTTGGGTGCCAGGGTTTCCCGTGTGGCTTGTATGTTGGGGCAGAGCCCAGCCCCTGGGTCTGCGCGTGGAGGAGCCTGTCCCGTGTCACCTTCAGGGACAAAAGGCTGGAGCTTGGGTCAGTATGACACGGGTCCCTGGTGCTCCATGCACGGCCGGGCCGGGCCCTGGT